CACTTCCTTTCCACGCGTTCATAAAGCAGCTGGAACTTGTCCAAATAGCAAAGAGGTTTTTTGGTGAATTCATGGCGTCCCACCATAGTTGGAGCCACCACAAAAGCGCCAGCCACAATATCTTCTTTGACATGGAACGTAGCATCTTGAAGACCCAAAGTAGTAGGTGCTGCGCCTGAACGATAACGCACCATTGCAGTAACCTCCCCAAACAGAGCACATAGATCTTCCATCCACTGGAGAGTGCATTGGCGAGGACGGCATCTCCATAAGCGAACGACGGCGGTGTGCTGAGGGAGTTTGTACAAATGTAGCAGATTTTGGCCAAACAGAGATGCCCAAAATACCGAATCGTCGTAGTCCCCCCATAAATCTGATCCATTGTTGCGTCTTCTTGGGAACCAAACAGCGACATCAAAAGGTAGACATACTTCCCAAACAATTGTGCATCAGCAATCGGAAGTCCCCCAGGAGGAATACATGTACCACCATATGTAGAGTTTACCAAGGGTAGCAAGTGAAAAATGTGCCAAGATGGACCACCGACAGGGGGTGGTGGTACTTTCCGACCCATCTTCCATCTCGCCACATCACAGATCGATTTATGCATTGCAAAATTTATCAGGTCGAATTCAGCTTCATATTGAAGCGGGATCTGTTGAAAATCCGCAGCAATATCCGCACAAAAACGAAGTGCATAATGCAATGTTCGTGTGACACCCGACGTTGCCTCCTTGTGACCATGGTCCCATACCACAATGAGATCACGGGCGAGTTGCGTTGGTTCCGGCACTTTCATCCAATCAGTCGCAGCCACCACACGATCATCAGACAGACACAGATAGGGTTGCTCCTCTTGGGGAAAGAAACTTGCAAGAACCAGAGCAACATTTAGGAAATAAGGGATGCAAGTCCGACGTGCCTGCACACTTGCAAGAGACGCTTTATCAGCTGAAACAAAACGAGACTGTCGCACTCCAAGCGCTGCATGTTGTTCCGCATCGCAGCAAGGTCCAGCAAACCTGTTTGTGGACCAGCCCCAAATTCCTTGTGCCAAACTAGAGCGACGACGATCAGCAATACTGCCAGCTCGCATGACTGCTGCAGTAGAAGAATCATTTGCGGAAGAAGCAAACCTAGTTGCCAAGTCATTCGGACAAATGTCATACTCCTCCACATCACCAGCGACCAAGTCAACTGGATTAGCAGGTGTGCCCGCAGATGTACCATGAACAATTAGTTCTTGGAAAGCCCTCACTTTTTGCATGGCATCGAGGATGTCTTGTGGAATGGAAGGTGAGGAGGCCGATTGCCGCACCGTTGGAAGTGGAGCTTCTTTCGGTGGACTTGGAGTAGCAACATTTGGAGCTGGAGCTGGGACTGTAGCAATGTTAGGTGTAGCCGTACCTGTAGTTGTAGTCGTGGCAAACACATTTGCGTAAGCATCCAAATCGCTATCAGGGTCCTCTTTTTCCACAAGAATGGCTGGAACAAAGACTGCTCGAGCTTTCACAGGGATCTCTTTTGGTTCAAATTGCTCATACCTATCAGGTAGCGCGTCGAAAGGCAAATCAGAAAAACAAGTAGAAAATTCCGGCCAAGGCCACCCATCCTCCGGAGGACAAAGAACAGATAGGTACGCGAAGTGATCCCGCGGACCATAATACCCCAGTGCTGGCGGGTAGCATTGCCGAGCACGTTCCAACCATGCACCAACTTGACAGCGTTGCCTGATAGCCTGTCGATCGTCCACATCACAGAGGCCAAAGAGAGCACAATCCAGAGCCATCCCCATTATGTAGCGAGCAAATTGCTCTCGTAGGGGTTGGGCGGCAGCAACGTTCAATAGACCATTCCTGTGAAGGTTGGAAGGACAAGGCAGAGTCGCCCACAGATCCATCGCAGAAGTAGTTTGCAATTGATAGGACCCAGCACTTGAATTCA